TTCACACTACATGAAAGCTCACACTTCCTGTATGGTGCCGTTTCAGTTTTATGAACAATTTGATGATGATGAGATCGGTGCGCTGGACAACGCTGAGCTGGAAGGGTTCATCGAACCAGACAGTGTTCGTCTGGATGAAGTCCTCAAAGACTACTTCAAACAGAAAGAGAAGGAGTGAGTGATATTTCATTCTTTTAGTGGTGCGGCTTTAAATGATGTATTTGATTAATGTGTGTGGGGTTTTTCCCCCTCTGTTTTGTGGATCAGGTCTCTGAGGCCGGAAGATTTAGGTCCCAAAGGGCTTCCTGTTGTGAGGGAGGAGGAGGAAGATGAGGATGAAGAAGAAGAGATGGAAACCGTTGTTGTTGAAGCTCCAGAAGAGAAGTGGGACTGTGAAACAATCATCAGTGAGTTTTTATATCATGTTATGTAAAGTTCGCTTTTATTCATCCAAGTTTTTAACATTTTAAACAGATTTCTTGATCTGTGACATCGGAGAACAAACAAACACATTTATCTTTCCAGAGATATTTAAATGCAGAATATTACTGCGTAAAAGCCTTCAGCCCTCATCTCTTTGTATTTCACGTCCACTTTTTTAATGTATTTTTTCAAGTTCTCCTGATTCTCTGATGGTTTTTCTTTAGTGTTTCTTTAGTTTTTCACTCATTTTCAGTGATTGTACATGAGCATTTTCATAGGAATGTCATTTTTGTGTTTAGCCTCTGAACCCTTTATCACCCAGGTGATGCAATCCACCTGGAAGTTTGGCTGTAAAATGACAAAATCATTTGTTCAGGAACCATTTAAATCAGTAATGTGAAGCGCACATGGTGAAATGTAGGCAGAGCTGATTTCCCTGTCTTCAGACAGCACTACCTTGTGAATGCTTTGTGCTACCATGACAAACCAAATATCCCTGTAAAGCTCAGCTTCTGTTCTTACTGACACGTTTCAATGTTGCCTGTTGCACAAACTGTAACAGAGTTACAGTCATTTAAAATGAGCTGTGAAATGGCCCTGCTGACGTGCCGGTGGTTTAAAAAAAAAGAAAATTTAACACTGACCTGTGAAGCATTGAAGACTATAAAATTCCCCTAACTGAAGGAATGAAATGACAAAACTGCTTCAGATGATATATTTAGGCATGTTGCCTCTTGCCTAAAGATATAATCACTACAAGCCTTTTCAAAGAAACAACTTCCCATTTCTTTAGTTGCATTTACAAAAATGCCATAGATACTACAGTTTGACAGGCATAAAATAATATTTATTGTACCAGCAGCGTGATTTTCAAAGCATTATCAGCCAAAACTTGGTATGACATAGTGTGGTGAGCAGTGCCTTTAATATCTTAAGGGAAAAGGACATGTGAACAACACAGGAAACAACAGCACAACAAAGGCCTGAATGATGCATCTGGCTCGTATGTTGAACCATCTAGTTTTTAGCCTCATTAGAACTGGATTCAGTGGAAGGATGGCGGTCAAAAAATGATTCTTAAAGAAGGAAAATATGAAGAAAAGCCAAAGTACACAAGAACTGGACTGAAAATCAGTGGCAGGTCTTATGGAGTGATGAACTCAAATATGAAACCTTTGGCTCAGATCATTGGTAGGATGTCTGAGATGGTACAACAGTGAGAATCTACAGACTTGTGCAAAATAGTGTAAAACAATTATTTTGGAAGTCTTGTATCCTTTATGGATGAGTGCAGCTCCAACAAACTGAGACTGTTGAGATTACTTTATGGTGTTGGTTTAGTTTATTGTTCAGTAGTGGTGGGAAGTGTAATATCTTTGTTCTACAGATGATCTTTTTATCCATTTCTTTTCTCCTCCAGGTACATACTCCAACATATATAACAGACCCAAAGTCATCGAAGAACCTCAAAAGGTAAAAAACAAAGACTGGATTTTTTTTTTT